AAACAGAGGAGGCTTAGTGACAATTTTACCGAAAACGAAAAGGTCACACATTACACATTCAGGTTCACAATTTCACACTGGCTTTTTTTTTTTTTTTTTTTTTTTCCCTTATGAAAGTCCAGGGTGTTGTAGAGGCCAGTCACTGAGTGCACAGTGATCACCTGGAGCTGTGAGCTGCGGGTGTCCTGGAATATGAGACCACCTCCCATCCCATCCTCACGTCAATACTCCTAGCACACCCCCTATAACTACACTATCCTACCTCAGTGTGATCAGCACTCAGGACCTTTGCCCTACCAATGGGCAGGCAACTTGCCCAGACCTGGTGGAAGTGGAATCGGACGAGCCTTGTCGAACGGGAACTTCGGACGCCAGGCCCAGACAATCTACTACGGGGCCGAAGAGACATGGACTCCAGGTTCAGACAGGGTAGCACCCACTGAAGCAGTCTTACCGTCCTTCCCCTAGCTTACCCAAGGCCGGGCGGAACTCGGACTGGCCTGAGTGACTTATATCCCTACCCTTACCCTAGGGTCTAAGCCTTATATATAGCCACTAGACAGTTCTATCCAAATATCAGTAGGAACTCCGGTGGCCCATACCTGTCCCTCCTACAGATACTAGACCCCACCCAGTGACTAGACCCCCCCAGTCTGATGTTATAGTTGTATGTATGTAGACACCTGGAAACTTGTGTATGTAGCCCGTAGGCGGTGTAGTTCGCAAGCTATATGTATACCCGAAGGCTGTGTATGCTCTGTGAAGCTAGGCGTCGAGATGTACAAACAGCATCATGTGTGGAAACTTGTGTATATAGCCCGTAGGCAATATGTAGTTCGCAGCTATGTGTATCCCCGAAAGCAGAATGTATCGAGATGTACAGACAGCATCAAGTGTGTATATCGAGGAGAGAACGGGGCAAGCTGGACAAGGAAGGACCCCCCTAAGGTCCGAGCCAAGCTTGAACCCGTGACCTTGTAACATGTAACCAAAGACTCTACCGTATGAACAACTATGGGAAATGCAACGAAAGTGTGATATACCAGACTGGGGAGATCAACAGAACACCCAAGACCAACACCCCCAAGCAACCCATGTGGAACCCAGAACCAACATACAACACCATGAACAACCCTTGGGTGGTGCGCAGGCAGTGTCCGTAATAGTACCATGCGTCAGCCCAAGAGGGTGTGTGTCAAGCCGTGCGTCAATCTAACGCCCTGCAGGTGTCCATGTGCAAGGCTGCGGGGTTCTTGACCTTTCAGACATACTGTTGTTTGGACCCTTTTTTTTCTTTCTTTTTTTAACAAAAAGGTGGCAGCCTTCAGATATATGATCCACATGTGACAGGAGTAAACCTAGCAGGACTAGTTGGCCTAGCAGGACTTATTGATCATTTTTTCCTAAAAGAAAAAGATCAATCATTGCATATTCAAGCCCACCCATTCTCAGTCTTTTGAAAGTAACATAAAGGAGATTCCAAGGATTGTCTTTTGATGCATTTCAGCATTATATTAATTGGAAATTTGTGTATGAATTTTGTTGGAGAACCTGCTGACAGTGTACTGATGAAAGTGAAAAGGGTGTTAAAGTTTTTCTTCAATGGGCATGATATGAATTACCAGATGCTTCTTACCAGAGAGCCACTCCAAGCGAAATGATTCCCTTGCATTGAGGGAGGCAAGCTTGCTATAGCATACGAAGGACGTTGCTGCCAGTGGTTTGGAAGTACAGAGAGAAGGTACTCCCTCTCTCCTCAAGTTCTTTTTTTTACCACAGTGAAGATGGTCTCGTTGTGTGAATGGTTGCTTGTATACCGTGGTGGGAACCACATCAGTTTCCCCTTTTGTATCCTCCTCCTCCTCCTCCTCCTCTTCACATCCACTTCCAGCACGGCTATTGACACCGCCGCTGGCCTGGGGCTAACACCAGGAGGAAATGGGAGCGAAAAGCAGGTCTATCAAGATTCAGAGCCTCTGAATAGTACATTAGAATCACTGAGCATCATAGACGGCAATCTCCTTCGATATCTTGGCGACGTGCTTGAGAGAAGAACAGATAGATCTGCACTAACCCGGACAAACCTCATCCTGGCAATTTCTGTCTCATCTGATGGGAAATCTGTGTACTTTTCCGAAGAGGCTAACGTCACGGGCAACCGTGACGGTCTCATCAGGGGTTCCGTGGTGAGGAAGGCACAATGGACTGATGCAGGCAACGGCAGTGGGTATATCATCAGCGACGTTGCTGGGCCATGGCCAAAAGATGAAAAGCACCGAGATAAATTAGCCTACAAAGGGACAGATGTATCAGGCCTCCTGGTGCTAAACGACCAGGACTTGATCGTTTCGAGAAAGTACAACAACCGTTTGTCAAAAATTAACGTATTCAATGGGACTGAGGTTGACTATTGGAATATTACTTTGCCACTAGGTATAGCAAAACCCCCTTCCGAGAATGTTTTGATAGTCTCCAACCAAGATCGCATCAACAAGGTTTATATTTTCACTGTCCCGTCTTATTTCTCCGATGTCGTCCAGTCGATAGCTGGTCCGCAAACCAACCTATCCATGCCAGGACACCAAGACTATCCCACTGCAGCTGGCGTCCGGTTCCGAGACCCGTTGATGGGCCCCCAGTCAATCACACGTGATGGGAGATATCTCTACGTTCTTGACTACTGGAGCGGATCGCTACGCGAAGTGGTTGTCGCTACCGGCGCCACGAGGACCATCGCCGGAGGTGCCAATGCAACGCTTCACTATGGGATTCCGGAGGTGTTCAATGAATCAAGTATGTGTATTGTGACCGAAGATGGGTGCAATCTCCTTGTCACCGGCTATGGGAGAATCTACTGGGCGCCGCTCTCCTCCGTAGGAGGAGATATTAAGGAGATAAAGATAGTTGCAACGCTTCCTCCGCAGCAAGGGAAGAAACATGGTGATTTAATGGCTATGTTTCTGATGGACGATCATAGTCATCTGTTTGTGGGAACCGGCGACGGTCGTATGTTTCAGCTCCAAGTGAATGTCTCGGCCTTGCATGACTGCAGTCCTTCACAAGCTGCACCTCGTAGTTTGATCTTGATCGTAGGGTTATGCTCAGGGTTTGCTGTTTTCGCCTTATGTGGGGGTGGACTTGCCTTGGTTGTGGTAACCGTGTCTCGGAGGAGGAGGAGGAGGAGGAGGGAATCCCAACGCACCACAGCGGATTTGAAACAGGATCGGAAGTCGGCCAAAAACTTGCTTGGAGGGAGGGCTTCCACTGTTTCGAGTCAGACTGTCGGTTCGACAGGGTCCAGCATGCAGACACCCAAACCCCCTGAATCCCTAGCAATGCTAGCATCGCCTTCTTCCTCCCTTATGGAGTTTTCCCTCTTGACTTTGGAGCGTGCAATAAGCCAAGGTAGCTGCGTGACTGCTCGCAAGGGCGGGTACGGACATGTACACAGGGCATCCTTGGTGGTGGGAGAGGAGAAGACGGAGGTGGCAATTAAGGTCATGGCAGGGGAGTTCAGCGAGATGAAACTAAGGCAATTCAAAGCAGAAGTTACTACTCTGGGAGGGGTTCGACACCGCAACCTCTGCAAACTGTTGGGCTACTGCACAGAGGGAGACAGCTTCATGCTCGTATACCCTTATATATCAGGAGGATCTCTTCACAGCTACCTGCATCCTGAGCATTTGCGGACAAGGGACAGACTTTTCAGGACAAGTGAAGAGTCGTTGGACTACGGCAAACTGCCGCTGAGGTGGACCGAAAGGATTTCCATCGCTAAACAGATAGCAACTTGCTTGCGATACCTGCACCACGAGACAGAACGACCAATTGTACACAGAGACGTGAAGAGCAGCAATGTGTTGATCGAGGGGAGAGGGAAGAAACTGCGAGCATACTTGAGCGATTTCGGTCTGGCAAAGCCGGGCAAAGCCGATAGAAACGAGGGGGAGGTGATGACTGGTCATACGACCGTTCCCACCCAGACAAGAGCAGGGACTCCCGGGTACATGCCCCCAGAGTACGTCTTTGAATCTAAGCTCACCATGTCCAGCGACGTGTTCGCATACGGGGTTGTGCTCATCGAATTGCTCACAGGCTTACCTGCAGTCCTCAGACCCAGAGAAGGGGACTCCGTCCCTCTCTACTCCTGGGCAAGGCACTGGGAGGACATTGATCTGCTCATTGACGATGACTTGAAAATGTTACTCACGCCAGAAGAGAAGGTGATGGCTACTGATATCTTACTGCTGGCCTTGCACTGCACAGATGACTCAGCATCCAACAGACCTACAATGCATGATGTAGTACAGCACCTCAATTTAATCATGAAGGGAGTATGCATAGATTCCATGTCCTCTGATGGCGACGATGTCACCGGAACTGCCACACAGGCAGATACCGCTTCAGATGTTGTGGCAGTCTGAAAACAGGACCTGGTGCAGAAGGGGGGGGGGGGATACAAAACACTTGCAGAACTGTAGCAGTTAGTACATATAAAAGTATTTTGTTTCATTTATTGTTTTTCATATTTCAATGAATTGTATATGAAATGGAGAGTGGGGGGCAGGGGGAGGGGGAGGAAGAGCAGTGAGCAGGCGCAGCAATTATGGAGAAGAGTTTCGAGCAGCTGACGGAAGGGGAAGAGGAGGCGAAGGGGAAGTGGAAGGGGAGGGGGAGGTGGAGGTGGAGGTGATGCATCTGCTGCTTCTTAAGGGCTTAGCAGTTAGGCGGTAGATGGCTTATGGGAAAACACTTCAAAACCGACACACACTGTCAGGAAAAAAACTTCAAAAAAGAATGAAAAAGGGTACATGACCATGTGATGGAGGAAGATAGCTGGTGGTTTATGTAAAGGTCAAGATTGGAAATGGGCAGGGCACTTCTGTGAAGTTCTGTCTCATTAGATTCAATGACATAATAATAGAGTACTATATAGCAATTAATAATAATCATTAAATTTTATTGGAAAAAGGTCTTCTAGTACTCAACTAGCACAGGAAACTGTCTTTAAGTTATCCTTTTTTTTACCAGGAAATGCTTCCAGCAAAAAGGAAATATCAGTAATTGTTTGAAATTTCAATTGTTGTCTTTATCCATGGAGATTCCAGAGTGCTTTGGTTCAAAAGTGGGGCCTGATATGATGCACACAAGTGAATGTCGACAGCCACTGGGGTACGTGGGGCCTGATATGATGCACACAAGTGAATGTCGACAGCCACTGGGGTAAGGTTCCACCGTCCACGTGCAGGGATTCGTCCTTTCTTAGACTGGCATTTCATTACAAGTATCAATTGCCAGGAGCGAAGAGTACTTTCAACCTCATGCACATATCTCCACAGGAGAACACGGAAGTAACAGGTTCCTTCTCCAGGGGGCACAGAGCCATGGGGTGAGAGACAATGTACTTGTATGTACTGATGCTCATGTGCGTGTATTCTAACATGCGCGTGAGCATCTTTGCTTGTATTCAAAAGTGTGTGTGAGCATGTGTACTTGTGTTCGAAAACGTGAGCAAACGTGAGCATGTGTACTTGTATTCGAACATGTGCGTCAACATGTGTACTTGTATTCGAACATGTGCGTCAACATGTGTACTTGTATTCGAACATGTGTGTCAGCATGTGAACTTGTATTCGAACATGTGCGTCAGCATGTGAACTTGTATTCGAACATGTG